CATACTGTATAGGACATATACAGTACAAACTGTATATGACATATACAATATATACTGTATAGTACATATTCAATACATACTCTATAGGACATATACAATACATACTGTATAGGACATACACATTACAAACTGTATAGGACATATACAGTACAAACTGTATAGGACATATACAGTACATACTGTATAGGACATATACAGTACAAACTGTCTATGACATATACAACATATACTGTATAGGACATGTACAGTACATACTGGATATTGGCGGTATTGTTACTTTAGCGCTTTCTGTGCCTTTTAATTTTGATTGTACTAATACGGACCGGAGGCATTCTGTGTCATTTCCGGCCTCATGGAAGTAAAATTTTCAACTTGAATGTACTTAACAATTTCTGTTATAAACATCATATTGGTAAATTGGGTCTCTCTTTCTTATGCACATGTTATCAATACGTGGGCGAAGATGCCCTACCATAGCAACACAATTGCCGAAATGACCAAAGAAAAAACATAAATGACTTAGTTAGAATTCGTTTTTAAAATATGATGTGTATATTTTTGCGATGAGCTATGACCATTCAAAATTTTCTAAAACACTTTAACTCGGAGAAGGAAATCCCTTAAATTTTAAACAAAACAAAAAACTCTCGTAATACCCGTATCACATCCTGTGATCAGAATGCCTTGACCATTGATGTCCATCCATGTGTTCTGGCTACGTTTGTATATCCATACACCAACATAACAAAGTAGCATCACTGCGATGTAAAACAGGTGTCGATACAAAACGTTACACAGCACCAGCGCAAAACATACATAGTGACAGATCTCGTAAAATCTCCTGGAAATGTCGAAGGCCATTTATAAACAAGATCTGTAATAGAAAGAAAACAAACAACAGAACAGGGAAAAATTAGAACAAAGCGCACATTTAAATAGATACCCTTGAAACCATTGAAAGGTGAATAAGACCATGTGTTCTGGAAGGGTAAGCGTCTTATGCTACACAGAGGACATCCGCCATGTAAATCTGAGTCGAATCAAATAAATGTCACGTCCTGATATCGAGAATCGATTAGTGACAACAAATTCACAAGGTACTCTAATGACCCTAACATAACCCTTCATGTCACACATAGATAAAACCTATTTCCCTGCGAAACACTTATTGCGACCGTAAAACTTGTCCATACTCTTAATCAACTGACATCTTTGGGAGCCATGTTATATGTTGACCACAACATCTATCACGGATATCATAATTTAAGCAAGCTCTTGAGTCCAAAATAAGTTGCGACATCGAAATGGTCATTCTTTTCGAACAGTTAAGTAGTAAACTGTCCCTGTTTGTCATGTTGAAAAGTAAGGATTGAGGAAAGCAGGCTAATGTTGAGAGTCTGTGGTGTCATTTATTTCGATCTCTGGACGATTTAGTGTATATACAATCGATGTGGTTAATGGATTTCTCGTTATTTAGAAACAGCACATGGTTAATTCATCTGAATGTTAATTTGAAGGAAAACGCAAGGTTTTTGGTAAAAGACCTGATAAGCAGGTCGATAAATTCAGCTTCCTATGAAAACAGAAACAAATCGGTCTGAAGAAGGGAACATTTCGTTCCATGTTAACGCCTGCAGACTGCTTTAAAATATTGCCAAAGAAATATAGTGTGTACTAGGAACTCAGTTATTCTCACAGCATCGTCTTCGGTTTATTTCGTTTTAGTGTATTTTACACAAATTATATATCATGAATTAGCCTTCCTTTGATTAGATATATATTATATCAGGTGTAAGACCACCTTTGATTGTATAACACTACATCATTGGTAAGCCATACTATCATTATCAATAACTAATTCATTGGTAAGACTTCAAATACTGATACATCACTTCAGCTTGGTTTATCCCTTAGATGATCGTTTATCTGTACAACATGAGCACATTTTCTGATAGTTTTATTTGACTCTAGCAAGGTAAGCTCTTTGAGAGTAATATATTTATACATAAAGAAAGCTCTCTAGCAGCTTTTTTTATTGCTAGTATATTATATCATATTATGAATTGATAGTAATTAATAACTACAACTTGATAGGTTACCCTTGTACAGGCTGATATGTCGCTGATATCGGAGTAAAACTGCAGTATTCCTGCAGTGATATCACGGAAAATGTGACATTGAGCTCAACGAAATATGCACATTGAAGTGTAATACGTGTGTATTCATATCTCAAGCGGCACTATCTTCTGCAACACCCTAAGTGGTTTAATCATAATCTCGTGGCGGTCTGTGAAATACAATATCAATATGCGGTCACCCTTTTTAGAAACAACAAGTTGATAATTCCCTTATGGCGTCACTTGAAATGTAACGTCTTTATGCTTTCTGCCAAATGAAATACTCTTCTCCTCAGTATTTGCATACGTACCCACGTTAAATTGTTAAAATAGAGCATTATTGCATATCAACAACACGTAAGGAATTTCATTTTGGTGAATATTTATCAATGTAGGACTTTCGTTGAGGTGAATAATGTTAGATGAACCTAAAAAGCGACATAAACTGAGACCAAGTCGAGGTCGAAACAACTTTTTACATCCATATAACTACTTTCATCATCGTGTTTAGAATGTCAGGAAAACAAGCCTGTAGTAGCTACAAAGTTACTGTACCGCAATGAAAGTCCTAAAGAATTATATTAGATATGTTGTTGTGGTTTTTATACCATTTGAATTGATTTAACGTTATAGATCAAGAGAAATTGCTAAATTTGACAGACTACATTGTGACTCTACAATTAAAGTGATGTTATAAAAGATATTGACCTGCTAATTATCAAAATAGCAACACCTAGTAATTATCACAACTTACCGACCTACACGTGATTATAATTCAGCCAATGATGACGTAGAAAACAGTGTCATGTCATATGTGGTTAAATGCATCTGGAAACGAATATTCACCTTGACTTTGTCTCGGTCAATATCTCCTTTTCAGGCTCACATAAACACATATGCACCATAACTGATACATTTGCAGCATTATGTATTTGACAGAACAAGGGCAATAACTATTATTAAGAAGTGCCATACCTGAGAACTGTCCTCGTTCTACATGTATTATGTCCGGTCTTTGCCACGATAAGAATATGTGCCACTTATCAAGTCATACATAACACACATAAACTTCTATCAAATTCCTCAAGTCGGCTCAACAGCTGATAAGGTTAAGGTAAGACTGGAGAATTACTTATATGTGTGTGATATAATGGCTCTTTGAACTACGTGAGGCGTACGTCAAAGTGTATTATCAAGCTGACTGTGTGTTTTAACGACGTCATTAAAATTTAAAAGATTTATATATGAGAGTGCTTTCTACGTTGTAATATATTGACATTTTTCTTCTTACATCAAAGCACAATAACTTTCACTCAACTTATTTATGACGAATTTATGTAATTAACGAATAGTTTGAGAGCGTATATACATTACAGTTTACATGATCAAGGTACATGTTTTACGTTACAGCATACAAACACAAATAGAATAGTTTCAGAGTGTTACATACATTACGGTTACATCAGGGTACATGTTTTACGTTACAGCATACAAACACAAATAGAATAGTTTGAGAGTGTTATATACATTACAGTTTACATCAGACTACATGTTTTACGTTACAGCATACAAACACAAATAGAATAGTTTGAGAGTGTTATATACATTACGGTTTACATTAGAGTACATGTTTTACGTTACAGCATACAAACACAAATAGAATTGTTGACTGGATGGTGTGACAAAGAAATTTCCAAGCAAACGGTGATTTTTTTCAACCGGATAATTGATGATGATTTTCTTCTTTCATATTATTTCAGTCATCGTACTTTACATCGTTCTTTACATCGTACTTTTACATCGTACTTTTACATCGTACTTTACAAAAGACGAATATCATATAACATCGCAAAAAAATCATCGGAAGGAAGATAACGCACGATCACGTAAGGTTTAACTCTCAATGACGTCATTAGATAGTCACCGTCACGTAGATCACGTGCTCTAAGTAAGCCAGGCGCTCGAGAACGCCTAAAGGAATAGGTACAGATGACGTTCAAAAATCCTTTCTTTTGCTTACTAAAATAGCTAGATCTCCGTCCAGTACAAACATCTAAATGATATACAACATTAATATTGATACAGAGACGAGGATTCCTTTACCTACCAATATACAGAGCGGAAGTTTCCATTACTTATACATATTCAAAAGACTCCTGAGGATTTAATCATTTAAAAAAAACCGAAAGACGTGAACAAAATGCTGATCATTTTCTATTTTTCTTTATTATATTGAATGATACCAAACGTAAAAATTAATAGAAACAAAAACTAATTAATATATATATATATATCGATCATAAATACATATAGAGGATATAAAGGGTTTGTAAAAGAAACTAAAATAAAACTCATGCATTATCATACATTCATATGAAATCGTTCAATCAAATGTCATGGACTGTTTTAGAATAGAAGGTAAACTATAATGAAATATATTTAAATTGAATTTAAGAATACTTATATGATATAAGAAAAATAACAAAAACTAAACTTTCCAACATCCGACTTATTATATATATTTGATATAGGTCTATAATTACAAATTAATGTATAAATTTGACCTAAGTTATAGAAAAAATGTCAGGTTGTAAACCGAGATACAGACAGGGTTAAAATAAACCTAAAGGGCATGATATATATCGATTCATGCTGACAGATTTTCTCTGTGCTCTTTTGTGTTATATCATCTGTGTCATGTTTGTATCTTGATAGAGGCTCGGGTGACCGTGGGTCAGTTCCCAGAGATAATATACAAATAGACATTATGAAAGGATGTATTAGGATAAATCTGGTGAAAAATATCCAAGAAATTGTATAGTTACCCGGTTTAATGAGGAAGTGGTAAATAATTACGACTCTTCATGGACCCCCACATAGGTCTTCTCTTCCAATCATGTAGTGGGAAATAATGGGTCTACCTTGGATACAGTGTGTCCACCTTCTTTTGAATACGCTCAAGTAGATACGATAAGACAGCAGAAACAACATTTTATAATTTAAGCTTCATTATAATCAAATGTAAATAGGCTGATGAAGGGTTAGTTGGCCAACTATTATATATGTATTCCAAATAATGTAGATAAATCAAACCGTGGGATAAAAATATCAAACAAATATAAGATGTCATTGATATACTTGAATATGATAGAACACAGCAGGTCCACTACAGTGATGTATAATGTTATTCAAAGGTAGGTTCAATGACCGATACGAACAAGTGATTAACTCGCATGATCTACATGATCTTCAATCACAAATTCATTCAAATGATAAATATTTAACTATATCTCAGAAAGAAAAAAAATGCAGAACGTTGTCTTTATTATTCAATGTTCTTACAAAACTGTAGGTCATCATTGTTCACAATGAAACTAACAAATAAAACTTTTCTTAATCACAAATGAACTAAAAGTTAAAGATTGTCCTAAATCACAAATCTACTAACAAATTAAGGAATGTCCTAAATCACAAATAAACTAAGAAATGAAGAATTTTGCTAAATTACATGTACAAACAAACTGAAACTTAAAAGATTATCCTTAATCGAAAATAAATTAACAGATTAAAATTGTCCTCAATCGCAAAAGAACTAAAAACATATAGATTTATATAAACCATAAATGAACTAATAGCATTGCATTGCCCTTAATGAAAATAAACTATAGATTATAGATTTTCCTTAATCGCAATTAAACTGAAAGTGGATAGATTGTACTTGATCACAGAAAAACTGACAGGGTATTGGCCCTTAATCACAGATAATAATGTATTGTAATGAAAATAGCATGTTATATAATGGAGTAAATGACATATAAACAAATAACTTGAAAAAAACGAACATAAAACAGATATATTTAGGATCGAATATATGTATATTATAGCGCACATCAATATCAGCGCACTGTCGAATTTAAAATACAATATACATACGCTCTAATTAAATGAATAATTGAGAGCAGCATTTAAAGCTCGAGAAGCACTAAAATAACACTTAAATGCACGTACATGGTATACGTTTTCCGAAACTGCAGATGATCCTAAAATCCTAAAAGATTGCTGAAAACCACATATAAAAATAATAAGTCTAAACTATCCTTAATACAAAATAAATTAATATCACATAATTTCTCATAACGTACACATGAAATTAAGAAATATGCGTTTTATTTACATGATATGGATATAAGTACATCATAAATTACTTAACAAAATCGTCACTTAACTGATATGATATAGACACACTGACAAGCATTATTTACAGATAAACTATATTGTCCTAAATCTCTGATAAACTAATAGGGTATACGTTGTCCTAAATCACAAATAAACTAACAGGGTATACATTGTCCTTTATCCCTGATAAACTGACAGGTACACATTGTCCTTAATCACTGATAAACTGACAGGGTAAACATTGTCCTTTATCACTGATAAACTGACAGTGTATATCCTTGTCCTTCATCATAGACAAACAGACAAATTATACAGTGTCCTAATTAACAGTAACTGCCAGGGTACACATTGTCCTTAATCACTGATAAACTGACAGGGTACACATTGTCCTTAATCACTGATAAACTG